CATAAGCCAAGGATAAAAGAATAACATCACAATATTTTCGAATCTTTTCATTGAACGTTTTGGAGACCTCTGCAGTAGCCTCAACGCTATCCTGCACAGAACAAGAGTGCCATAAATCAATTGCTAGTCCAAACAAGAAGCCCGATAATCAACAGCCAACAGATAGAAAATACAACTATTGAAGAAAGAAAATTGAGTTGGTACATGTAATCCATTAACCATTACAGTAGAATAAAAGAAAATTTCCAAAACATTATTAGCAAAGCAGAAAGAAACCTGCGGTTCCATAAAATAAAATTTCTAAAGACTCCCAACCAGGAAAATGAAATACAAATATCCATCTAAGAAAAGAAAGAAATAACACAAGAAGAGGGAAAGCAAGAAATAATCAGAAACTTGATCAACCAATAAAGGGATATAACATGTAGTATCATTCGATCAAATCATAAAGTTGTCCTATTATAATAAAGCTCTTTTGAAAGTGAATGAAATCAAATGAACTTGATGTAGGACAATTTATGGGTAGGGTTTCCTATTGCAACTAATATAATTTATAAGATGCTTCATGCAAAGAAAAACAGAGGATCATAAATTAATAATTATCAATCAATCCAAAAACTCAATTGCTATAAAGAAAACGAATAATAGTAATCTTTAAACCAATTAATAATGAAATGAACATGATCATCTAGGAATTCTAACAAGAATTTGGAAACAAATAAAATCATTGATCTAATGAATTATTTTCTATGAAATCAGATTTCTAACATATCACTTTTCGATAAAATCAACGATTAAACAAGCTAATAACAAACTATGTAGAAGAAATAGACAATGAACAAATTTATTGAAGTAGAGAAAAACTAGCTGTCACACTAGTAAAGGATATAACTTCCCCAAAATCAAGTAATAGGACTTGTACCTCATTCAAACAAATCATATATTCAACTTGAATCACAAAATAAAATAAAAAAATTAAAATAAAAAAAACTAGAAGAGAATTACATGTTTCATACCATTATTTATAGACTCCTGGTGATCCAAAGCTACCCAAACAACACTATAATAGGATCCATCAAACATGATGAGCACGCCAGTACATAGTGAGGTTCTTAATCAAAATTCCTATTTTTGGAGCTAAAAAACAATTAAAGCTTCATCCACAAGATGAACTAAGCAAATTTACAATAAGAAAATTATGCTTTCTTGAATCCTCAGTATCTCTCTTTGGCTCTCCAACTCCTCATAGAATCCTTCTAAAAGCCCTCTGATGCGGACATCAGTCAGAGATTTCGACACGTGTACCATCAACGGAGGCTTAGATCAATGGCCACAATTCATAGTCTCTACTTTTGACATATTTGTTGTAATTGTATTTATGTTATTTCAGTTTTCTAGTCTACCCCTGAGGGTAGTGAGTTCTTTTGTAGCCCCATGGGCATTTGTGTCTTTTTTTCTTTTTAGACTTGAGATCCATAAATAAAGGTCTCCATGCTTTGTATGAGGAGTTAGTTGATGAATGAAAATTTTATCTTATTGTTCTCTTTGTGAGTTCCAAAACTTCTCTAGATCTCTTTGTGAGTTATTGAGGAGAGAGCCTTTATATCTCTTTGTGAGTTCTAGCGGTAGGAGTAAGGTTCGTGATTCTTAATTTTCTTATCTTCCTCCTCCAATCACTTCCTCTTCCACCTCAAGAGAAGACAACCTAAAACCCTTGGCTTGAAGAACCCGACCCCAACCCCTTGCCACCACCCCTTCAAGCCCCAGCCGCCGGCTGCTTTCACACCACCGGCCGGCCACCTTGCCACCGGCCTCCCGTCATCCTCCCACCACCCCTTTCTCCGCTAGCTTTCATATTTGAAATTTGAATTTCAAATTTCAAATTCTTTCCAAATTAGGAAAGTTTTTATGTTGAATTCAATTTTAAATTAAATCAAATTGGATTTAAAAAATTTTCTTTCCTAGTCATCACCACCTATTTGGAAACTCCCCCTCATCCTCCCCAATTCCCTCCTCCTTGATGTCGCCGGCCCTTGATGGGCTCTCCCCATTGAATGCACATTAACCCTCACCCCTTAGTTGGAATCCAAATTTGATTTCAAATATTTTCCCTCCTAACTCTCTAAAACTGAAATTAATTTCAGTTTTAGACTAAACCTCAATCCCCTCTCTCTATACCGCCAGCCTCCCCTTCCTTGGCTCGCCCACATTACTTCTCCATCAAGGCATTAATTGTATTCAATTTGAAATCAAATTTCAAATTGCTTCCCTCCCAAATTAATCTAAATTTGAGAATAATTTCAGATTTAGAATTAATCTCATCCACCCCCAACCTAACCTAGTTTCCACCAAGGAGCCTAGCTTCTCCCCTCCACATCTCCAAGCCGGCCACCATCTCTCCTCTCTTGGGTTGTCTTACCGTGCTCTCTCATCTACATGCAAATTATGTATGTTGGATCCCGAAGTTGATTTCGTTTCTTGTATGGTTCTTCTTCCTCCGACAACCCTAGATGTAGAAGAGTGACTTTGAGCCTCAAGGTGAGACGATCACTTTGTTAACAGTCGGATTCTAGTTGACTAATCATTTCATTACTCTTGCTTAAGTTGTTATTTTAAAGAACTCGCAAATTTAGTTGTAATGGATTGCCTAAGCATCGTTTGCTTCTAAGAGCTTTCCTGATTCTTCAATTTTGAGACGCCTTAAGATTAATTTTATCATTGCTCCAACAACTTTTATTAATTTCTTAAAACAACTCCTGGTTTTACATCACCCTCTCCCTAAACTCTCTAATCCTAAAAGTAATAGTTGTCGATGTCACTCTTCACTCTTCAATTTCCTTCTCGTCTAATCTCCCAAATTCCTAGGGCCTCACTTTATAATAATGGGTTATTTTCTGCTACATTAGCGCCCACTTCAACGAAACTTTTTATATAATATTTCATCATTACAAGTTATGAGGTGGAATTAATTGTGGCACCGACTTTACGGACCCATGAAGCCAAGATGGCATAGCAACTGCTTGACAATAATCTTATATCTATCATGAATGCGCTCAACTCTTGGGCAACTATCACCAAGATATTTAATGAGCTCCTCTCGGCATCGACTTCTCTCCGCAACATCTCAGTCTTCTCGAGATTTCCCTCAACAACATGACAAATCTCTTGGGAATCCCATCCTAATCTTTTAAGTACTCCTAACTTATCCTCCACGTGTCATCTCAACAAGTCAAATAATTTCCTGATAATATGCCTCATCTTTAGGAGGCAATTAACTACCGTGAATCAAGCTATAGGAGAGGATTTTTTTTTTTTTTTTTAAGTTTACCATTTTGCTTTGGAGGTCGTATGTTCTTATTAATTGATAAAGCACCTGGAGCTGGAACAGATCATCGTGGAACACTTCAAAAATTGGTCTTTAGTTAATTATCTCAATATAGCAGTACATCACTGAGCCGAAATAAGATTTATTTCATGCTGTCATCCAACATTGTAGGTTTTGAATGGATTCAAATATATTCACCACATAGTAGATCTCTATATATGTGAGAAAAGCTAACTAGTATATGTAGTCGCTGATCTTCTTAGAACTTTAAATGGGCCATACCAAATTGGTTATATCTTTTGATCTTCCTTCAATCTCCACTTATTTATGTGAAACCACACAAGGTCATCTTGAAATTTCTTCTATACTTTGTGCATCATGTCAACAGTTGTAGACTTGCAATACTACTGAGCTTGGCAAGTTGTGCTCTACCTCAAAGTGAATTTTCTAATTCCTTCTAAAACTCTCTAAGCTCTTCTGAGAACTCCACCTCTATTTCAAGCAATGTTTAAAATTGTGTATTCGGGTATTGAGGCGTTTTTCATTCGTGAGGCCAGGCGTAAGCCTCAAGGCATTTTGAGGCGTAAGCCTCAAAATCAAAGGATTGCGTAAACATAAAATGATAAATTTGTTATATACTAATGAGTGAATAATATAAAACATAAAAAAGTATCAGATATGAAGTGAAATCAAAATATCCCAATAATAAGACAACATGAAATATAGTTCAACTCAAAATTCTATCTTTCCCAAATCCCAGTATTCCTTTCATTAACATATAATTCAAATTTCCAAAAATAAATATTAAATAGCAATGACAAATCGCATAAGAACTCATAAGTCATCAGCACTATCATCACTAAGGGGTTCTTCCGTTCTTCATTTGAATCATCATTATGATGAACTGCTCTCTCCCCTTCCTCCTCTCCTATAGAGTCCAATGTCGGGCA